TTTGGATGGTGCTTTGATTTTAGTTGAGTGAACGTTCCTCTTCGTTTGATGCCACCCCACCTGGTTTCAGTACCAAAAACAAGGCAAAAGGGCAAATAATTGTTAGTAGTTGTTAAAATCGTTTCATAATTTCAAGAAAAGCCGGATGTATAAACCAAATAAAATGAGATGCATGTTAAGAGAATATATAATAGGACCTTTCTAGCTTTGGATTTCCTTTATAATGTTCAATGTTGGAACAAGAAAATAAGATCTATTGCATGACAGAGGAAAAGAGTCTTTAGAGTGGAGTCGATCGGTGATCAGTTCGCAGGAAAGGGTTGCGAGATTGAGCTTTGGTTTTGGGAGAGAAACGAGTATGTGAAAGTTAGGTGTTTGGTCTTTTATTAATTGGGCCACCCGGTTTCTCCAAAAAAAAACTAGATTCAAAGCGGAAGGCCAGAAATTAAGAAAGTCATTTCCTTCTACTTTCCTCACTTTTTATTTTTTTTTTCTTTTTGTACTGATACAGTTTTTTTAAATGGGGGAGAATTAATATATTTTAATAATTATGATGTTAAGATTAATAATAAAAAAATTAAAATATTATTAATAAATTAATAAATAATACAAATTTATTCAAATATCCATATAATTTTCTAAAAAAATGTTGAGATTTAAAATATTAAAATATTTTATTTTTATTCTAAATTTTTTAAACTGCAACCTTAATTTTAAGGTATAAATAAGAATACAATTTCATTATGAGTATATATATAATATAAAAATTAATATTAAATTAATTATTTAATATCATATTTTATTTATTTATTTTATTTTACTATGTCTTCGCCTATGTGAATTATTTTCTCACCCACAAAAGGTCGAAAGTATAATTGCATGTGGGACCGTCTGCCTTGTGGGGTTTGTATCGTTTGATGCTTACCGTCGACGTCTGTCTTGTACGGTATATCGCTTTTCTTTGTTTCAATTCCGTTCAGATTCAGTGCCAGAAATAAGGCCAAAGATAAACCCAAAAAAAATAAGTCCAAAGGGGCACGGTTGTTAGTCCTTACAATCATAATGATGGAAGGAAAGACAGACGCATGTAAATTATATATTTGTATGTAGCTTTGTGTTTTGATTTTGCTAAATGGTTAAATGCTTAAAGCAGAGTAGGG